AAGGACTCGTAGGTGCATAAAAATGCCAAATCCAGTCTAAACATCTGGCTGACTGTGCAACCAACCATAATAATAATAATGATGATGATGATGATAATATGCACTACACCCATGTAATGACATTGATAGGTGATATTTGCCACATAGTGAGGGCAGACGTGGAATGCTGCAAGCGTGGCAAATAGTTGAGAACTAAAAAGAGCTCTGGCTGAATACACAGGCTAGCCTAGAAGAGTATTAAATGGCCAAATAAAGGAAGGTGTTGAAAAGCAATGAAACTAAGGATGTATATAAGAATGTGCAGCTCATGATGCCAAGGCAAAACTGGCAAAGGAAGCCATGATATGGCCAGTACTTAACCACATCCAAGGAAAGATTAATAATGAAAAAACATGGCAATCGCTAAAAAAAGACGCATGAAAGAAGGAAATGGAAGGTCTCATTTTAGTGGCTCAAGAACAGTCATTGGGCCCGTATGTAATGAAAGCTAAATCTGAGAAAAGTCAGCATAAGAGTACATATGGGCTATGCAAAAGGACAGGAGGAGATCACTGAACACCTGGTATGTGGATGCAGGAAGATTGTGCAGACGAGTCTTTGGAATGACACAATAAAATGGCCAAGCAGATACTTTGGAATCTTAGTAAGAATTAGAACTTACCAGCAACGAAGAATTGCTGAAACCACAAAATTGAAAAAGTGGTTGAGAACAAAGAGTTTAAGATCCTGCAGGACTTCCAGATTGATAAACATTTAGCCCACAATAAGCCAAACATGACTATAGTTTCAAAGAAATAAGTATGGATAATTAACACTACAGTAGCTGGAGGTAGAAGGGTCAATGAGAAAGTACTAGAAAAAATAGGGAATGTAAAGACCTTCAAATAGAGATTGAAGGTGGAAAAAGAAAGTAGTAACAATGCCAATATTAGATAGTGTGCTTGCTGGCATACCAAAAAATCTGGAAAAAGCTCTTTTGGTATGGAATAGGAATGGACAGAATCTCAACTCATCAATTACAGAACATTGCACTACTTGGAATAGCACATATATTATGACAATATCTTTAACTATCTAGAATTTTGGGAAGGATTGGATAGTCACAAGTACCAGATTCAGTCAGAACTATCTGACAGACTGTATGTAATAATAATAATGCAATTTAAGGGAATGCCCTTTAAATAAGAGATATCCTTTCCTTTTAGAAACACACAGCAGCCTTAAGCAATCTACAGTATCAAGGTTACCCAACTTTTTTCAGGTGACACATCTTTGAGTGATATATCAGTGTTGAGATGTAGGACAAGGACCAGAAAGACCAGGGGTCCAATCCCTATTCAACATAAAAAGGTTCTGAGCGAATTTGAGGCAATTGCTATTTCTCAGTCTAACATACTTCACATAGTTGTGAAGACAAAATTAAAATG